CCCTTGGCGGAGGCGCCGGTCCGATGGCGGGGAGGGACGGCCCGATCGGAGCCGCCGCGGCCGCGGCAACCCTTGGCGGAAGCGCCGGTCCGATGGCGGGAGCGGCCCCCGTCTTCCGCCGCTGCGGCCCCGGCCCGGACGCAAGAGCCGCCGCCCGCTTCCTCCCCGCCGCTTCCTCCCGCTGCGCGTGGTAGTGCGCGTCGCGCTCCAGGAGCCACCCCTCCAGGGCCGGGATCGGTTGTGCGGCCGGCCGCCGCCTCCGGATCGTCGCGAGGGCCTCCGCATAGCGATGGCCCCTCTCCGCCATGAGGTAGAGGGCGACGGCCGTCGCGGACCGGGAGATGCCCTTCGAGCAGTGCACCAGCACGCTGCCGTGGCACAGGGCCCGCGACAAGAATCCGACAATCTCCTCCCMGTAGGAAGAGGAGAGCTCGGCCACCGCCGTGGGGGCGTCGTAGATGGGGATCCGCTTGTAGACCAGGGACTTTGGGTGCTGCTTCGTCGCTGCCTTTCCGCCTTTTTGAAAGTAGTTGGGAACGCCCGCCTCGATGTTGGTTTCCTTCGGCGGGGTCATGTTGAGGACGTGGGTCACCTTCCACCGGTTCACCAGCTTGTCGTAGTCCCTGGCATCGGCCTTTCCACCGATGTAGATCGAGTGCCGCAGGGGGCGACGGCGTGGTTGTTGCCCTTTTGCTTGTGGTTGGTTTCGTTGCGGGGGAGGATCGCCCGTGCCCTGTTCCACGTCGAAGGTGGCCACCAGGCTCATGGCAAGGAAGGCTGATGCAGTGGATCGATGCGATGCAATGCGATGCGACGGGTAGATGGGACGGTGGGTACTCGTAGCGTCTTTCTGTTTGCCCTCCGGTGGAATGTGTCTCCGGGATGGTGCGTGAGAGTTGCCCTCGTTTTTCGAATCAGAAGTCGAGAAAAAACCTACCGGTACGTATCGTATTGTACTAGTCGTACCGGTACCTGTTAGTTACTGTATGTTGTTCCGTATGAGTACGAGTACGTACCGTACCTACGGTAAAAAATGCGATGAAGGCGACACCGGATGATGGTGTTTCTCAATTCTCCATAGCCAATAGCCATCTCATACCGTTCGTACATATGAGGTTACACTACGATACGATACGAGACTTCTGAATTGCTGTGCGTGCCACTAAAAACGCCAAAGATTCGTCTAGATTCGGTCCGTCGTCCTCCAAAACTGACAAAACCATCTATTGTTTCCATCCGCGCATGCTTGGAAGAGAGCTATGGTACCGGTACGAGTACTCGTAGTCGTAAATCGTACCGTGTGCTTTCTTGTCGTGTCACTTTGGTGTCGTTACAATTACAATCGACCAACCTCGACGACACATCAATCGTTTCGCGAAATTTTCGTTCTTTCCTTTCCTTTGCAAGCAAACCAACCCGATCCAAGACTTTTTCTCGAGTAAGGAACAAGAAGCGCACGAGCAACCAGCACACCAAGAAGGAATTCACAAGGGGGCAGCGGCGTTGTTCTACTACCAGGCAATCAAATCATTCAATCGAAGAGGCATTCCGCGATGGCAAAAGAAACAATCCATAAATTGTTCGGCAGCGGCGGGATGAGGCACATGTGCTGGATGCTCCTGTCCGTGCTCTTGTTCGCCGCGAAGCTGGCACCCGTCCACGCGGACATCGATCCCGGTTCCGATTTCGGCGGATGGATGGACGCAATGGCGAGTATCGAAGAGGAAGAGAGGCGCTACGAAGAAAAGCTGCGAGAGCACGAGGTCTGGAAGCAGAACACCTGGAGCGGCCTCGCCGTCCGCAAGATCCAGGGCATGGCCTACCACTTCAAGCCCTTTTTCCTGGCCGTCCAGGATGCCCTGCGGGAAACGAGCGGGAACGACTCGTCGACCACCCACGTCCTGATGTACGTCGTCGTGCGAATCGTTGTGGTGGTCGTGATGATGATCCTTTGCTACATCGGAGCCAAGGTCTTGCAGCTCCTGGTCGGCGGGGATTACGAGGTCGTCGAGGAAATCGTGGTCGTTCACGAGCACGAGACGGAAGAAGAAGCCGCCAAGGCCAGGGCCAAAACGACGCGAGGGAAAAAAACGAAGTCGTCGTAAAAAAAAACAAAGTCATCGCCACACGACACGACACGAAACGGCACGGCACGAAACTGCATAGACACAGACACAGAGTCAAAAAATAAGTACTGATAGGGACAAAATAGCATTTGAATATGGCAAAAAAGTATCAAAGGGAATAATGGTTATGGAAACCGGAAACCGATCATCTACTGCTAATTGGAAACGATATTAAGGCGATGAATCTGACAAGTTTTTCATTCTGCGAAACAACAATTGTGGGGAGAACGGAATTTGTTTCATGAGTGCAACAAAAAATAATGGGATTCGTCTGGTTATCGAGCGGATAAGTTGAGTCGTTCTTTTCATTAGTGTTTCTATTGGATTCAGTGAATACGGAGTGGAACAAAGCATTCTTCCGATGCCCAAAGTTGAAATGCATTGTGCAGCATGAAATCAAGTTTATTTCTATTGAAAATAGAGTTACGAACTGTTACATTATCTGCTATTGAACACTTTTTCATTGCCAATCGCGTCTTCGTAGTCATGTACTAGCGCTTCCAGCTTATCATCAGCTTCGTAAGAATGGGAGTGCTAGCTGCTGCTGAGCATGACCAAAAGAAAGAATAGCAGGCAGTACGCAAGAGTATATCCAAACGCCACCTCAATGTAAATGGTTCACAGTAGCATTCCATGATATCATCCTATGAGTGGACAGTTTCCCGTGATACGACACGATTCGACTAGAGCAATGGGACATTGCGATAGCCATACTGTTCTATTCTGTCGAGGACTATGGGTTAACAAAATTACCTAATGATGCACGTGTGAGTTTTAAGTCGTTCCTCGCCCGGACCAACGGATGTGCTGTTTCTGGGAGAGTTCCCTTGACCCAAAGAACCATCGGAGTCTGCCAGTTAGAGCGGCGCACTGAATGACACGTCACTAACAAAGGTGGATAGGGTTTTTCGATTCGATAGCTTTTGTTTCCGTTCGTTCCGTGCCGTGCCGTGCCGCCCGTGTTTCCTCTTTGCTCTTCCTTGGGCGTTGTGTTGCGTGGTTTCCGTTTCCCTTTCCGTCTCCTTACTTGCTCAGGATCAGGAGCTCGTCCAGGGCCCGCTTCGACGTCTCGTACTCGCGGGTCGGATCGTTGTAGTAGCTATCGATGAGCGCCTTGGAGGCCCCCGTCTTTCCCTCGGTGGCAATCGGATTGAAGACGTTGTTGTAGACGGCCATGTCGAGGAACCGCAGGTGCTGGAGGAGTTCCTCCCTCCCCTCCAGAGCCGCCAGCTCGTCCCCGTCCGTGTCCCCGAGGGCCTCGGCGTACTTCTTGAGGATCGGCGTCGTCTTGGACCAGCAGTCCCGGAGCGGGGCCTCCGTGAGGAGGGTCCGGACGCCGTCAAATTTTTCGTCGGCCAGCAGAGCCGGGACGGTCTCGAGCTGCTTCCGGGCCTCGATCAGGACGGCCCGGATCTCCCCGACGTCCTCCGACGAGTAGGCGGCAGAGGCCGGGGGCGGACCGGCCGCCAGGACCGCCGTTCCGGTCAAGAGAGAGAGGGAGGCCAGGGCGGTCCTCCGCGACACGTCGCCGTCGGCCAGAAACAGCACCGGCTCGGTGCGACGTGGCACCGCCGACGGGGGGTTCGGGGCGCAAAAGGATTCGGCGCCCGGAAGCCCCAGGGGCGCCGACAGGACCAGAACCGTGGCCGCGAGAGCCAGCGATGGGGGCTTCCTCGGCGCGGACCGTCTCTTTCCTCCTGTTTGTTGCGAACCGAACTGCCGCGTCATCTTTCGTATTGCTGGTGTTGTCGTTGTCGTTGTTGTTGTTGGTAGTGGTAGTGTCAAGAGTCGAAGGCGGTCGTCTGCGATCGGCTCCTTGGTGCTCTGCTCTGAAAGGTTCAAACGCGATGATCTATCGCCTCGGAATGAATTCTTCGTTTGCACCACTACACGAAACGTAGCAAACTGTCTTTTGTCGTGTCAGTTGTCAGTACAGAAATACGGTATTGTACGGTATTTGTACTTGGTACTGTAGTTTCGGAGTGCATGTCGTGTCAACGATCGGCTCTTTCTTCGTGCGATATCTTTGACGCCCCCGTTTCTGGTTGAACCCCTGCGGGGTAAACGAGGAGAAAGCGGACTCCCAGTAGTGAATATATGTATGACTAATACTGTAGGGTACGTTAATACAGTATGATATCGTATCTATGATTCATTCATGTCCGTCCACAT